CTCCCTCTCCCCCCCCACACAAATCAACGCCCTCGACACAATGTTCCCTGATGACCACACGCAGGCCGGGAAAGGCGCTGAATGAAGTCATCAGCATGCAAATGAGGATAAAAGAGGAAAGACAGCAGCAGTCGGGTGAGATGAAGTCCTGAGATGTTGATTTATCAATTCGGAGGGATCAGCGTGCTCGTATTCTTCTTATGGCGAATGAAGTGCCCCTCCACCTCACCCATAAAAACCACAAATTAACCGGGGCCAATTTTCAGACAAGCTGTAAAAGTGACAAAGCGCTTTCTGGCGACAGCCTTGGTGGAGGTCACTCGAGGGAGCGCAAATGAGAAGCGGCCATCTTTGCTCGGCTCCCTGTGGGAATTCCCCAGTGGGAGTGTCACTCCGCACCTTGGTGACGCTCCGCTCCACCCACACACACGAACACGCACACGCACACACACACACACACACACACACATACGCAAAATGGCGTCTGTGAGCAACCGGTAAAATGGACGTTTTGAGGAATGGATATTAGCTGCTGGTTGTAGCAAGGCGCTAACAAGGCGTTGACGGCAACACGCCCTTCCACGCGCTCATTAACGCATTCTTAGGCCTCAATTTGAGCTGCGAGGAAACTATTTAGAAGGCTTTTTTTTTTTTTTTTACAAGGTAAAGGCGGACAGTTATCGAACGTGAAGCGTCATTTTGATGACTTTCACTTTCAGGTGTCATGCTTACATAAGACACACGAAAAAAGGAGTCAAGAGGTGAGCAAGACTCCAACAGATACTTTTCAACTGACGTCGCTGGGCAGAAGCAATCGTGCAAAACTTGACAGGTTATTGTCATGAAATACGGCACGGACACGTCAAAGCCGGAGTTGAAAACGTGGACCTTTTGTCATCCCTGACAGCATTCGGTCCGGTGCACAAACTGTTGATTCGGTTGCAGGTTTTTTTTTTTTTGTCATATCCGGATTATTTTTATATTTCTTTTTTTTGGGAGTTTTGCATTCTTTGTTCAATATATGTTTGTATAGATGACTTTGATTTACGAGGGTATATTTGATTGTTTTTTTTTTTCCCATTCATTCACTTTACCGTTTCTCCCCGCAAGGGTCGCTGACGATTACGACATTGCTTTTTAACCTTATGGCTACGTTGCCCACTGCTTCGGCATGCACTTATCAGACAAACGCAAAAGCACAAGTGTCCTCATGACAACATATGAGTCAATTATTGTGGACCGAGATTTTTTTTTCGCGGGGGGGGGGGGTGAAAGTAAGTGTAAAGTCTGCCTGTGACGTATTCTGCAATGTCAACAAACTCTTCATCGAGTTGATCCTCACTCCGGCCGCCCCCCCCTTTTTTTTTTCCCTCCTTGGCCAACATCTGCAGGCTGCTTTCATTCCTTCAAACAACTGCCGCAGATTAGCGCAGACACATGTATGGCAGGAATTTGGAGGTGGGGGCGTGGGGGTGTGGGGGGGGTGGAGGAACAACAGCTCCTCCTGGCCACAATTATTTATGGAGCCACGACACAAAGGCTGGCGAGAATCGCGTCGACGTGAGCAAGCGCTCATAAACACAACAGAAAAGTGAAACTCAACACCAAACCGTAACAATGCACCAGAAATGGGGTTGCAACAAAAGAAATTGTATTTTTGCATGGAACATGTGAAGAAAATAGTGTCAATTAAGCAGTGCAAGATTCTTTTTTTATGCTTGTTGCTTCCAGAGATTTAAAAAAATTCAATATTTTTTTACATTTTCTTGATTGAATTTGTTTTCAATTAATGTGACGTCTAAATGGAAATAAAACTTTTTTTTTATTCATGTCTCAAATGACTGAAAAGAAACATTAAAACTTTGAGAGCGTATCAATAGTTGTATCATAACATTTTGTTCTCGCCTTCAAATTAAGCTGAATGAATATCAATTCAACTTTTAAAGTATTTCTTTTCAAATATGACTCATATTTAAATGTTCGTAGGAATGTTTCAAGAAATATGTCATCAATCAGCAAGGCTTTCAAAGAGAACTCTCGAAAAAGGCTTGGAAAGGGATGTGATCAGCGAGCAGGTGTCTGACGCGAAGGGAGCCCAAATGTCAGCTCAACTCACCTCATTGGACGGCATGCTGACGACCCCCGTCGACCTCCTCTTCTCCCTCAGCTTCCTCTTCTCAATCTGCCCTTTGCCCTTCCTGGCGCTGGGCCCGCTGCTCTTCTTGTCCTTGCTCTTGCCGGGCGACGGGCTTTCCCCGTCCGGCTCGTCGCCGTCCGCCGAGTCGCCCTTCAGGTGGCCCGCCGGGTGCTGCGTTTCGCCCCCGCCGCTACTGCCGCCGGCGGCTCCGGAGGCGGCGGCGATGTCTCCGAGCATTTTGGCTCTCATTTTCTCCCGCTTGGCCTTCCATTCCTCCAGGAAGTCGGTGGTGGCGCTCGACTTGAAGCCGCCGGTGGCCATGCTCGCTTTGACTGGCTCGTCCTCGTCGCTTTCGGCTCGTTTTGACAACTTTCTCCTCCTCTACAGGAATGCGGCGCGCATTCCTCGAGCCAGTGCCCCGGGAGCTGGTGGCAGGCAGAATGGAGAGAAAAATGAAGCGAAAGCCAAGTTCTGGGCTCCTTTGAGCCGAGCGTTGTTTGTGTTGTGAATGCATTAAAAAGGAGTGAAGGCGAACTCTTTGCAAACATTACAACGACACAAAGTGAGGCGACAAAGTGCGTTTGAGGCTTGGTGCCGACTCACCTTGCGTCAGGTCGTCGGCTTCCTCAAACTCCAACTCCAACTCGCACACCGGAACTTCCGACCAGGTGCGCCCGACGCCTGCTCGCCTGACTGCGTTGGCTCGCGCTGCGCGAGCTACCGCAACTCCCTCTGCCTTCCAGAACCGGGGGCCGAGTCCGGAAATGACCGAAGGTTTCCGAGTGTACCCGAAATACTCCTGGGAAAACAACAGCTCCAGACTCTCTTGTTTGTGACATTTACGACCTAATAAAGCGGTGGGAAATATGGCTATCTTGTTGTTTTTTTATAAGAACGTGTGTAATAAAATGTTTGGATGTGTGTTGTTTTGTTACATGATCCTGCATAATAAGAATGCAACGACTGTGAGCGGGATTAAATAAGATGTAACAGGAATGTTTGAGTCAGATGGGCCGAGACACAACAAAGGCAGCCCTCCCACGCCATCTCGTTAGCTCCCAGCTAATCATTTTATTTCAGTGACTCATGATTCTCAGCAAGAATGCGTGTCTTTAAAGCGCAAATTGTGCCTTCGCCATGCCCTGAATGTGCACCATGATGCAAGACATTCAAGGAATGTTGACTGAGGTCAGCTGGGGCACAATAAACGCAGGATGGCGAGAAATGACTCAATGTGCTGTTTTATAATGCTTGGCGGATTTCAAAGTTCAGCACTTGGGCTCCGTGGACCCACAGTGAAAATTACCTAACAGCGGCAAACCCAAATCAACAAATTAAAAATATGATCTGATGAAATGCTCCCTCTTGTGGCCAGAATGGAGTATTGCATTGACAATGACTTGATGGCCTGTCCCCGCCGCGCCACAAAAAAAAAAGCAACAAAAGTGTAAAAATAAAAGGTCGAGTCCGCAAACACTTGTTTACATTCGATATAATTTTGAAAAAGGCGCTAATATGGTGCTGTTCATTTGTATCCATATATGCTGCTTGGAGACAAGGACTTAAAATAAAAGTTGATATATATTCCATATACATATTTAGAGATACATCCACATGAATAGAGCAAGACGTGAACTTTACAATGTACAAGTTTATTTTTAATGAACTCTTCAGTGGTTGGTAGTCACAGCACAGCTTGCATGTATTAAGCCACACACCTATTTTACAAGAAAAACAAAATAACAAGAACAAAATAAAACTTAACCAGAGTAGATGTCATCATTCTCATCATCAGTCTATTTGCAGCGACTTCTTCCTTTTTCTCTTCTTGGACTAAAATATAGTTCATAATAAAAAGGCCACTGAAATGCATAAAAGTTGGCGTGTAATATTTCAACGGCGTGTTTTGGACTCGCGGCGTCGACAGTGCACGTAGACTTTTGTGAAAAGGAGGCTAAGCTTGTTGGCTATAATACTACAGCAAAAAAAACAAAAAACAAACAACACAAGTTAGTGAACTCAAAGAAAGTGAAATGTAGTCAAGCAGTTTTTTTTACCACTTTCTTTGAAGAAGAAAAAAAAAAAAAACCACAAAACACTGTCGGCAGTCCCACTTTGAAACCTGAAACACTTTTTGCCTCTTCAATAAAAGAAAAAAAAAATAGAAAGAAAAAGACACCTGCTTGTCCTGTGTGGAATTGGTATACTTTTAATAGTAACAGACTCAGCGTGCGCCGCTCTCAAACATACAGCCTTATGTATATGCATACACACACACACACAGCTTCACTCAGTACCTCCTAAAACAAGGTGACAAATACAGAGTATAAACCAACTAACACTACAAGCCAAAAACAAACAAAAGGGGATAAAGTGGAAGAAGAGTGACACTTCTGACTAACCAAGTGATGTCATTAAAGCATGAAACAACAAAAATTCTAATAATGCATATTGCACATTCAGTGAAAGCTTAAATTCCACCTGGTACGCCTCAAGATTTATTTATTAAATTTTCCTGTTTCTTTTCCCTCTCTGAGGTAAAACGAAAATGGGGAGGAGGTGGTCATGAGTGTGCGCGAGTGTGTGAGTGAGTGCACGTGTGAGATTTAAAAAAAAAAAAAAAAAAGACAGGAAGTGGCACTTCTTAGGGGGAAGGGAGAAAGAGGACACAGCACACTGATAACACAGGAGCAAGTAAAAGGTGGCGTGGCACAAATAAAATCGGGTGGTGTTGTAATAGTAATAGCAATAATAATAATAATAATAATAATAATAATAATAATAATTCCTCAAGAGCGGTCCTCTTTATGTACAACTAAGGCTTACTGGTTAAATAGACGTTGGGCTTGTAAACGGTGGGGATTGGGAAAAAAAAAAGTCTGATGTCTCTTGCAATTCGATCTATATGTGCAATTCCATTAGTCACTGGCAGATGAGGCTAGAGAGGGGGAGGCGGGTGGCAGTGGTGGCGGTGGTGGCGAAGACGGCGGTGGCGGTGGTGGTCTGCTCTACTTGGAAAGCTTGCTAATGACTCGAATGAGCGCGCCGTTCTCGTCCTTTAGCCTCTGGTTGTCCGCTTTCAAGTCGGGGAGCGTCTGCGTGGGAACAACAGCAAAAGGGCTGAGACACGTTTGGAACGCGGGGCGGCGCCGAAACACGACGGCTCACGGCAAATTAGGAACAATTTTAAATCAAAGAAAATATAGCAAAAAGCCATGCATGCACACAGCCCGACGTGGCCCGCACTGCAACTCAAGATGGACACTGCCCCCCGAAAAAATAAATAAATGTCCGCCGCTATCCCTTTGGACCGCACCGGATCACGTGACGCGATGTGGACCAGAGATATTGGGACGGATCACGTGCTCAAATCTCAACAGGTTGCGATTGGTCAATTTGGACGCTGGTATCCCTCTCAAACGGTACATCGCCATTGGGATAGGTACCCTGGAACTCCTTTTCGAAAACAGGGCAGTCCCAACAAAATGCTCTAACAAGTTCTGAGCTTCGACGTCAAGTTCTGGTCCCACAGTGAAAGTTTCTAAACTTCCAAAAGGACTACCCTTGAGCAGGGTCTTCTTTCGGCTGGGATAGATGACAGACAGCCTGGAACTCAATTTCGACATGTTCTCAAAGCACAAACGCCACCCAGCGCTGGAGTCAAGTTTGTGGTCCTCAAATTGAAGCATGATGAGGTTTTCTTTGTATTTTGAGTTCCTGGAACTCGTGTAAATGTTCTTCCACCTGTGGAAAGTACGAGCCACGAGCAGGGTCTTTTGAAACGAACCCAGAACTCAACTTGGACAATAGTTGCCATCCAATGTCACGGCCGTTCGAGCGAATCCAACGGCGGGAGGGAGTTGATGTCATTTGCCCCTCACCAACAAAGAGGGTTGGACAACGGCTTGGGGGCGGGTCTCGCCACGTCATGCAAGCTAAAGACACTCAAACTAGAAACTACACAGGCCCACTTTCCTTTGCGGGCACGTCAGGTTTCAAGTGGCAACCGGCTTGGAATGTGCCGACAAAGCAAAGTGTTCACACGAGGGATGGGCGAGATGGACTTCACAGAAAAAGAGATTGGGGTTTTTTTCTGCCCAATTTACACCACGTTCAAGATTGCCCCAAGGCCCCGGCGCTGAAATTTCCACTCTTTTGTTTCTTAGGGAGAACTTCAGTGGTGGGTGGGGGGAGAGGATTGGCAGTCAGCGGCAACACACTTTTGTCCACGAGCTCCTCTCTTTTTTTTGCAGTCATGTTAGTGTTTTGATCTACGGGTACAAACAAATCTTTTTTCAAAGAAAATGGAATGAGTGGATCCCAATGACTCGCCCAGCCCTAGTTGCAACCAAGGGACTCCCCCCCCACCCCCCGCCCTCCTCAAGGAAAACACCAACAACTGTAGGGAGGTGAAAACCAGTCGAGCACCTGTGGGCGGGGGCGGGGCATGAATGGATGGTGTGGGGGAGGGTGAGGGTTGGCAAGGGCTAAGAGGGTCGCTGAGGTGAAAAGGAGGAGGAAGTGCGGCCGCCTTTTAGAGGTCGACGGCGGGCGGCTGGCTGCAGGCGGCCTGCGAGAGCTTCGCCACCACGCGGGCCAGCGCCCGGTTCTCGGCCTGCAGCCGCTCCTTAACCTGACGCAGAGCCTGAACCTGCTTTACCTGGGGGAGGTTCTGCAGGGAGGGGGGGTGGGGCACACACAGCAGCCCAACGACAACAACAGCAGGAAATGTGGTGGACAGCAAGAATAGGAAGAAGAAGAGGAGGAAGAAGAAGAGGAGAAAGGAGGGAGGAGCACATTAATAGGAGAAGGAAGCGACAGGAAGAGACAAGCAAACAGAAAAGGAAGACTGTTAAATGAAGGACAGAGTTTGGACCCGCGTGAGCTCATTTCAACAACACGTGATGACATTACGACGGATTTTTGGGCCTCGCGGACCACAAGGCGGTCGATGAGGACATTGAATTAAGTTCTCCAAGGCCCCCCCGGTGACGTGTCATCAATCATCTGCTTCCACCTTGAAAGGTACCAAAACTAGTGAGCCGGAACCCTTTTTGGAACCCTTCCGTGGGTGGAGCTCGACAAAGTGCAGCATGTCGGGAATAAAAGGTCACTTCTAATTAAAAGTGCTCCAAAAAAGGACCAATTATTGGAGGGGGGGAAAAAAGCGTCGATATAAGCATGTCAAAGATGATCTGATTTACAATTGAAGCAATTCATTCAACAAATATGGAAAGCTTGTCATTTGCCACAAATTCATGATTAAATTGGGTCATGATCTTATTAAAAAAAAAAAAAAAAAACAAACACATTTTTATTCTCCATGGGGCCAACTCCCGTCCTTAGCATCAATGTGTCGTGTGTGCGCACGTGTGTGTCTACCTTGAGTTCCTCCTCCATCTCAGAAATTTTCCTTTCGAGAGCTCGCCTTTCCTGTTGGGAGGACGACAAGGATGACGGTTACTTTTTTGTTTTTTGGTTTTGTTTTTTTCATTTTCTTTTCAATGCGGCGATGCTGGCTAAGCGTGCGGTGCCAGACGCTGCGCGCGCACACGTGAGGCGTCTACAAGCGTCAGCCATCAACACACACTGTGATCAACACGTGGCCGGGCTGAGCTTTCCTTTCTACGGTGATGATGTCGCCTCAGCGGCATGAAAAACCCCATGCACTATTTTCAACACCAAAACACTGTCTTTTCTAGATCTGCAAATAAGACGTCTGGACAAGTGGTTGCCTCGAAGGCTTGGCAAGAAGAAAAAGAAGAGGAGGAGGAGGAGAGAGGAAGGAGGTGGAGTCGTCACGCGGCTACAAGTGCCAGCAGCAAAAAGGTCAAGTCAGCTTGGGTTCATACCAGCGCCCGGATGAGACTGAAGCCTGATCATTACCTTGAGATACATTCAAAAGATAAGGTGTCAAATATTTGATTGATTCTTTTCATTGACATCTTGACTAAACTATTTGGAGACTATTTGAGAGCTCCTCCCTTCATTGGGCTTTTCGTACAGATGGCACATCGAGTACGGTCGAGGATTTCTCTTTGATATTTTTGGAACCTCTTTGACCTGAATTACCAAGCGTCAAACTATTCTATTTCTTCAATCCATCACATCCGGAGCCACAACACAAAGGCCGGCGAGAAACGCGTCGACGCGAGCTGGCGCTCAGAAAGGAAAAGTGTCACTCAACACCAAAGTGTGACAATGCGCCAGAAATGCTGTCGTACAACATAACTGCCTTCAAGTCAATATTTGTCATGTGAAAATTATAATTCGACACGTGTATATCCTGCACTGTATGGCAGACGGTAAAATTGGTTTTATTTGTGTTCAATTTCCTTGACAGGGTGAATTAAAGTGGCACGTGATGCGAACGGTTGGGAGAAGTGACTTGAGGCGGACTGTCAACTGACCCTTTTCTCCATCTCAAGCTGCGACCTGTCGGCGTAGCGTTCCTGCCTCTGCCAACACAAAAACGGGAGGGATGGAGTCAGGAAGAACAAAAGGGTTGGGGGGGGAAAAAAAAAGGGGGGGGGGGGGGGGGGGTGGCGGCACCTGCGTGGCCTTCTCCAGTTGCAGCTTCAAGTCGGCCAGCTCCAGGTCCGTGTCGCGTAACTGCGCCTTCAGCTTCTCGTTCTCAGCCAAGATCTGCTCGTAGAGCTGCGAGGAAAGCGCCCGCCGTTCAAAGGGGACGAGCCGCCAGCCGGCAATTCTGAAAGCCGACGGCGTTTTGCTCTACCTTCTTGTAGTCGGTGGCGTCGTCTCTGTCCAGCCGGCTGGAGTACGTCCTCCGACTCTCGCCGTAGCTGCGGCTGAGCGACGAGTCGTTGCGGTCCGCCGTGGTGCCGCTGTCGTTTCTGCAACATGAGCGCACGTCAAGAGGCCGCCGGGCTCTCTCGCGTGCGCGCCAAACAAGGGCGCGGGACTCACCTGGACAACCTGTCCACCTGTCAGGAAACAAGAGAGCGGACGTTAGAAAATAAAAATATCAAGATGGACTTTTTAACGGCTCTTTTCAGGGCGTCTGCAGCCTCAAAACACAAGTGTTTATTTTAACCAATAAGTTGACATGAAATAAATTCACCCAAAATTGAAGAAGAGTAATTTATTTCAAATGATTCAATATATTTATTTATTTCCATCAAAGCCTGGCTGGATTGGAAATGTCAGCGGGGAGCCATTTGGGATCAGCGGGGAGCCATTTTGGATCAGTTACCTGCACTTCTCCCTTGATGCTGCCTTCCTCTGAGTCGGACTGCTGCTCGGGGTCGTTGTCATCACCCTGCAAAGACCGTGATGACAGCACACGTAAGGGCCCTGAAGAACTTGCTTTCTTACCGATTTAAAAGGCCTCGGGAGGCCTGAGCGCGTCTCACATCTTGGGTCCAAAAGGAGACGCCGGTGGAGCGTCGCTTCTCACGGGGCCGCCTGCGATCCCGGATGGAGCGAGGCTGAGACTTGTCGTCGCCTTCCTTCTCCTCTTCCTTTTTGTCCATTTCTAAAGGCCAAAGGAGCACGCATGTCGCCTTTCAACACAAGTCGAGTGGCATCCACAGTCAATCCGAGCTCATTGCGGGGTGGTAGTGGGGGGGTCCCCTATCAGGACTTTGGAGAGGGAAGCGGCAGACTTTGTCACGGCAAGAAAATGCAAATGACTGCACTGCAGCGACCTTCTCTGATCCTCCCCAATTTACCCAATTTCCCGTGAGCTCTGACAAAAACACGCCGATGATCATCGCGGTCGCGGAATGAAGCTAAGAGGATTATCGCGAGGTACGCCGACACCCGATGGAGTCGTGGTTTGTGTGGCGAGGGAGCGCCGACCTTTCTCGGTGTCCCTGGAGGAGCGCCCGTAGGAGGAGGCGATGCCCGTCAGGCTGTTGGGCCTGTTGAGGGAGCTCGAGCCGGAGGTCAGGGCGGCGCTGGAGTACGACGGCGCCGAGGCGGTGCTCAGCGTGGAAATGGACGAGGAGGCGGCGGAGGAGGTGCGGTAGCGCTGCTCGGGGTCAGAGCGAGGCCCGGTTAAACATTGCGAGGTGGCCGGCGGGCGGACGGGAGGTGTGTGTGCGGAACGTACGTCTTCAAAGCTGCGGTACTTTGGTCGGTAGTCGTCCTCCTTGGATTCGTACTCCTTCTTCTCCTCCTGCTTCTCCTTGTCCTGCTTCTCCTCCTCGCGGCTCTTTGGGGTGCGACTCCTGCCGATGGTCTTCTCGGCCTCTTGCAGGTCAGTCAGTGTGACGCCCTGCGAGGGGAGAAAAAAAAAAAAACCTCAACAAGGCATCTGGAGGAAGAGTTGTTACCAATGTCTTGTTTTTCATACATGGCAATGGCGAGTGATGAAAAAAGAGGAAGGGGCGTGGCCTGGACGGGGCGTGGCCTGGACGGGGGCGTGGTTACTTACAAAAGTGGCACTAAACATGCTGAAGATGAAGTGTATTAAATTTACACAGTTTGAAAATTGAACAGAAAAAAATCCCAAGATCGCCACTATTCTTTCAAGTGAAAATTTGTGCAATTTTGCCTATGCATTCCTGGTGAGCACCAATATGTAACTCCAAATTTGCTGCTAAAAATCAAAACAAAAAAAGTAAACACATCCCCTGCCATATTTAAGATTTGTTCATGACTTGTATTCATAAAGTGTTGTGTAAATGTGATAAAAAGCTGTTGATTCTTACCTCATACAGTGATAGTGAATATTTATTATGCATACAATTTATTATGCATAACCGTGCTTTATTATCCAAGACAAAACGTGAATTATCAATATGAATATAAAACGCAAATAAATGTTATCATGCTGTTGCTACAAATGCATACCAAATAAAATTGAAAATATCATCCTCGTATATTTGAATAAAAAAGTATATACCTCGGAGTGCACCTGTCTATCGGCGAAGGGCGTCAGTGGAGCAGATTTCGTTGCTTGGTTCAGCCAAAGTAAGTACCCCAGCGCGTAACGTCTTTAGTTGTATCCGCTGACGAAGTTTGTTTGAAAAATGCCGATCCCAAAGAATAATTGCTCCGTCGAATGGCGATTTTGTCGGCATGTTTTTTCACTTTTGTTGCATGATCTGTCAGTGCCACGCATCCACGG